TAAATTCCAGAAAATAAAATATTTTATATTTACCGTATTTATATATATTTAAATTCGAAAAAGGGCTTTTATTTCGAATTAAATATATGTATGTTTTATAAATTAGCAAATAATTGTTGGAGACTCCCAGTAAACTTTATTAATCTGGAAATCCTAAAATTCCAGAATGAATAAAATTTAAAATTTTGAAAACCATTTTTCAAAGATAGAAAACCGAAATTATATTGTGAAAATATATTTCGAAATTCCAAAAATATCAAAATTTATTTTCCAAGTCAAAAATAAGTTCCAGAACCAGAATATGATTTTTCTTGAATTTAAAATATTAATTTTGCAATTTAAAATAATTAAAATCGGACTAGTGAATAGTACCGATCCAATTACTTCAAAAATACAAAATAAATACTTTTACGTGTTTAAAAATTATGCAAATTTTTATACAAGCTTAAAATATCTGGTCTCAACTTATTATGAATTAAAATTAATTTTTGATCGTCAAAAATAAGTTTTCCTATTTTCTATTCAATAAACGAATTTAAAAATAGAAAAATAGGCACTTAATTCCAAAAATAGATTTTAAAATTTCTGAGTTATATTGACATGTCAAATACTTCCCAGAAAATATAAAATCTTATTTTCATAAATATTAAGTATTTATGACACAAATAACAAGTATTCTACGCATAAACTACTTAATAAGAATAATATAAAAATACCCCAAACAGTAATTCCGAGAATTACTAAACAAAATTATATTAGGTCCAGTATCTAAATAAGGCAACCTAATTAAATTTTTAATGGGATAAATTTTTGTCTCCAAAATTTATTGACTAATCTACAAAAACAATAACGGTAAAAACTACTAAACTAGTAACTTCGTAAGCCGGCTCTGATACCACTGTTGGGAAACGAGGCTTGGATAACGAAGCGAAAACAAAAAAAATTTATAGTCCAAAACTCGATTCCACCCAAGAATAACTTACGTAAATTACTAGCTATAGTAAGAAATTTACCTTAGCGGTGAAAACGGAGAACGGAGGAACAGTCGGGGATGGTTTTGAGGAGATGAACGTAGCGCCAAACGTATGAAGCCTCCAACGTATCTACACGAACTTGCTCCGGAGTCCAAGATTAAACTTGTGCTAGCAAGTTTAATATAGGATAGTAAAAACTATAATAATACTACTTTGGGAGTAATAAATATATAGTAAAATATTTATCTTATAAATATTTGTTTATAATATTTTGTGTATATTTCTAACACTTTAGAAAATTAACTTTGAACACAAAATAGGATTTTTCTTCTCTCTAAAATGGGATGGCCGAAAATTGTTAAGTCTATTTTTCAAAATCAAGACCTCATTTTATAATAAAGTATATTTAGGAAATTGCTAGGAAATTAATGTTAAGCATAAGTCCATGTATATGTCTTAACACCATGTGTAAATGTTTAATATCTTAGCTACCAAACAAAATAGAATCCCTACATCAAATAATAATCAAATATATCAATTTGACATTAAATCAAAATGGTCTTGGATTTTCCTCTTGAAATCTTCGACCATCACATATTAAAGTATATCATATTTTATTTTTGACATCAATAATTATCATATAATTAAAATGATAAAAAAATAAAATAATATATATATATACACATTCGGCGCTACATATATATATATAATAAAAAAAATTGTTTTGTCAAAATATAATTATCATATAATTAAAATGACACAAAAAAAATATAATTTTAAAATACATATGTATTTTCGAAATACATATATATATAAAATTATCACAACTATATATTTAATATTACTCCCACTAGTGTAGTATACTACTCCCTTACAAGTCCTAATTGTGTGACCCTTTAGGTATCCATAACACTGGCAATGATATTAATAAAATTAATACCATAGATAATAAGCGGTATCTAGCAACACATTATTACCCCCAGATTATGAAAAAGACGTTCATCTCATCAATACCTTCTACGACACAAGACATTCTATAACTATTATCCTTCTGTCCTAAATGTCATGATTTAACACAAGGCATGGGATGTGTATCCTTGTATAGTTAAATCGGCTTTTACTGAATCTCAAGTAGTGACATATCTGGGCATGGCCATGCACTTTCCCAAGTCCTACTATTCAGTGGGCCCATTGACATTATACTTCTATACAGTAGAAGGGACAGATCTTGTATCTGTTATTCACATCTCTAAATATGCTTAGCGGCATACCCAACGCATAACTGTACGTCTACCAGTATTTCAAATAGCATTAGTTATGAATCAAAGCATACGGCCCCACATATCAGAGAATGTAATAACTTCAAGTCTGAGGATAGTTATAGCAAGGTCGATTTGAGAATACTGATAAACACATTACTGTAGATTAATGCAGTATTCTCAAGATGGGTCAATCCAGTCACATATTATCAATATAATATGCACCTACGTACAGATTAAGATATCACAATACCTATAGTCTATGAGACGCAACTATCTCATCTCGTACGTACTAGTCTTGATACGTTATGACGTCCATATTATCATAAAGTGCGACTAGGGATATTCTAGACATAGGCTTCGTCAAGAAGTAACAGTCTCATAATCAGAACATCGTAGTCCTCATCTATGTTACTGAAGCGCTATCGTCTATGGACTGAAGCTATGTTATGTTACACGAGAGATAAAACAAACTTCAAGGCCTTTCATTCATAATAAAGTGTACAGTTACATACGTATTTGATTGCCGCTAGGGCACCTAAATACAACATTGATGTCTCCTCTCAGAATCCTTTTAGTCTTCTGGAACAGCCCATGGACCAGCCTACTGTTCAAATTTTGCCATCCAATTACCAGTTGTACAATTCACATACAAGTACACATGGGCAGCGCAGCTGACACGCATGGACCCACTTCTAGGGCAACTCCTTGGGGATGCTCAAGTCCCTGCAAACAACAATAACAAGACAAATGATATATTCCCATCCTTCTCTGAAGCTAAGGAGTATGCTAATAAGATGGATAAGAAAAAACAGACAGTTGAAGACAATCACTCTCATAAGGGAGCGTGTCAAACATTCACAGAGGAAGGCCCTCATTACAGGACCGCTGATCAAGGGCTAAGTCTTCTTCTACAATATTCAGAACCCAATTCTCCAAGTATCCAAGATCAAGACTGTGATTTTGGATACCATTCAGAAGAAGAAGTTAGTGTGTTTTTAGACAACTCAAAGCTGGAACCTAGAAGCTTTAAAACCCCTGAACAGAAATCCTTATGTGTCTCAGTCCCTAAAGCCTTTAAAAAGAGAAAGCACTTTGACATCCCCACTATGGTTACCAGGAGTATGAAGGGGACTAAAGATGTTACATTCTACTATCTCTCATGAACTGCCTTTTTTGGAATGTCTGTGGCATCACCTCCTCTGTAAATACTCATCTATCTCAATAAATATTACTCTCTGGATTTTGTTGCTATTTTAGAACCTATTGTCAAAGAACACAAAGTTAATACTCTCAGAGCCACTTTGGGCTTTAGTAACTGTGCAACTGCCCTTAATAATAAACTCTGGGTTTTCTAGAAAGGGGACAGATTTACCCTCATTCATATTCAAGAATTTGATCAAATGTTCACCTGCCATTTTTTGGACAACACTATACATTCAAATATCAGCATCTCTTCTATTTATGGTAAGCATACAGGGGCAGAAAGTTTTCCATCATCTCCGATGGAGCCAAAATTTCACCATTTTTTGGCTTTGGGGTGTGATGGAATAAATCAAAATGGATCTCTAAACTGTCTGTGCTTCTTTAATTAATGAAGTAGCAGTTAGTCAAGCAATGCAACTTTCGACGTTGAGCCTGGGGTCTCTTTGGAAACAGCCTCTCTACTTTCGAGTAGGGGTAAGGTCTGCGTACACACACCCTCCCCAGACCCTACTCTTGTGGGATTTAACTGGGTTGTTGTTGTTGTTGTTATACAGGGGCAGAAAGAAGACAATTGTGGGAAGACCTTATCTCTAATGCCATCTATGATCACATTTGGATAGTTGGTGGAGACTTTAACAGTATCTTATCTGTGGACGAACACAAGGGCTCAACATCCCCCAATCTGGCAGATATCAGGGAATTCAAGGACTGTCTTGAAGCCATACCACTCCTCAATACACATACTACTGGTGGTACTTACACATGGGATGGGGTGAGGAGTAGAGGCAGGGTTTGGAGAAGGCTTGACAGAGCTCTTGTCAATGAGAAAGCTCTTACTTTCTTCAATGATATCTTCTCTCATATGTGCAGCAAAACAACCTCAGATCACAAACCTATTGTGCTACAGTGTGCCATGGAGTCATTTAAGGGAGCCAAACCTTTCAGATTCCAGAAATTTTGGGTCAATCACTCAACCTTTTTAAAGATGGTTAATTATCATTGGTCCACATTCCCCACGCAGGGTGGGATGAGAGGGTTGGCTTCCAAACTTCAGGCTCTAAAAACCATTCTCAGAAACTGGAGCAAGAGTACTTTTGGTGACATCTTTGAAGAATTGAAGAAAGCAGAAACCAATGCACAGAGGGCACAGGAAGCCTATGAGACTAATCCGGAGGACCCTACACTCAGAAGCACAACAAATGAGGCTTATGCTAAGCTTATAGAGGCCACTAATAGAGAAACTACTTTTTGGAAGCAAAAGGCCAACCTACACTGGCTTGAACATGGTGACCAGAACTCCTCCTTCTTCCACTCTTTTGTCAAAGGCAGGAGAACAAACCTTAAGATCAGGGCAATTAGAGATAAAGATGGCAAGCTCATTGAGACAGAGGATGGTATCAAAAGAGCTGCTGAAAAACATTTCGTGGAAACTTTCAGTAACACGAAGTTGGTGGAAGTTGGACAAATCCTAAACCACATACCTAGCCTCATTACTAATGATGATAACAACATGATGTCTGCTATACCAGATGAGATGGAGGTTAGGAAGGCAGTTTGGGATCTTAACCTCAGTAGTGCAGCAGGCCTAGATGGGTTCAATGGTTGTTTTTTCAAAAACTGTTGGGATATTGTTAAACTTGATGTCATAAAAGCTAGCCAGAAGTTCTTCATGGGTATACCTGTTCCCCAGGCTTATGGGAGTACACTCATCACCCTCATACCCAAGAAGGAGAACTGCACTACATTCTCAGACTTCAGGCCAATTTCCCTTTCTACATTCATGAGTAAAATTAACACCAGAATCCTAGCTACCAGATTACAAAAACTGATTCCCAATCTCATCTCTATTGAACAATCGGCTTACCAAAAAGGCAAAGGAGTTGAAGATCAGGTACTTATGGCTAGTGAAATGGTACATAGTCTGGACAGAAAATGTGATGGCGGGAATGTGATCATGAAGCTAGACATGGCCAAGGCTTTTGACAAAATTGAATGGTCTTTTCTCAAAGGTGTGCTCAACAGATATGGGTTCTCTCTTAGAGTGCAGAATCTTTTACTAGCAAACTTGGAGGCCACTTATATCTCTATTCTTATCAATGGCAGTCCCACTGGTTACTTCAAGATGAAAAGAGGAGTCAAGCAAGGAGATTCCCTTTCCCCTCTCCTATTCATTATGGCTAGTGAGGTTTTCTCTAGGATGGTCCATCACTTCTTTTGCAACCACTACTTAAAGAACTATAATACTGGCAGAAGCATTCTAGTATCTCACCTAGCCTATGCTGATGATCTAATTATTTTTCTTAATGGAAGGGTAAGAAACCTACTCAGATTCAAACACATACTGGAGGACTACACTCAGGGATCTGGGCAGGAGGTGAACTTCAGCAAGTCATGTTTCTTTGCAGGTAAACACTCCTCTCCTTCTACCATTGCTAGGATGGCAAAGGCACTGAATATGAAACATGAGAAGCTGCCATTCAGTTACCTTGGTGTCACCATATGCAAAGGTAAACTTAAGAAAGGACACTGCCAAGCTCTCATCAAACACTTTGACGTCTACTTATCCAGCTGGTACAACAAGATGTTGACTCCTATGGGAAGACTTCTACTCATTAAACATGTTCTCTCCTCAATCCCCTTACATTATATGGCTGTCCAAAGTTTACCTATTTCCATTATCAACTTGCTCCATAGAAATATGGCAAACTTTTTCTGGGGTTATAACAATGGCAGGCCAAAGCATCACTGGAGGTCTTGGGAGTCCTTATGTTGCACTAAGGAGGAGGGAGGAATTGGGATTAGGAATCTTAAGGATCTACACCAGGCCTACTCCCTTAAATTATAGTGGAAAGCACACAAAGATGACACACTTTGGGCAAGATTTATAAGGGAAAAATACATTAGAAGGAACTCATACCAGGAAGGACTTGTTGACTCACCAACCTGGAAGAGAATATGCAGAATTGCCAATTTGGCAGATGAACACTCCTTTTCCACTAATGGCATCCTATCATGGGAAGATGGAGAGTTCACTTTAAAGAAAGGGTACAATGTTGTTAGAGATACTGGAAACAACCAAATCAGCTACAAATTTGCTTGGCACAAGCTACAGATCCCGCAAATTAGGGTTTTACAATGGAAAGTATTTAATGAAATCCTACCTTTTCCACAACTACTTAGGAAGCTCGAGTACCAGCTACCTTCACAATGTCCACTCTGCAAGAACCATGAAACAAGCACAAACCACACCCTCCTGCACTGCCATTTCAGCTCTAGAATCTGGAATTTTTTTACAATCTTGCTTCAAGGTCCCTGCAAAAGAGATGGAATCAGTCTACGACAACATATTCTAGAGTGGAATCTCAGGTCTTCTAGCAAGACTATAAGGGGTAATCTCAAAATGGTTATAGCCGGAATCATTGCATGGCATCTTTGGAAAACCTATAATGCTGCACTCTACAGCGAGGAGCAACCCTCAGTGACAAAAGTCCTCCACAATATCAAAACCACTATCCAAAATTGGTGTTGGAACAACCGAGATAAGAGGTGGATGAACAAAGACTCTGAACTTTTTGAGTTAGGATTTCAAACAGTTTACCTCAACAGATATCACCTCCATAGCTTCAGAGATGAATCACGGTATACACATGTACAATTGGTGGATGGAAGAACATCAGCGGGAAGAAGAAGAAGACGGTGATCCACAACACAATCATGTGGAGGTTGAGGAAGAATTTTAGGTGAGGAAAGAAGCGGTTAAAGATGGGCCTGATCAAGGATGATGAAAATTTGAATCCTGAGCATCCTCATCCCTTTTCTGTTTACATTAGCAGGATATGTCTTTTTTTAGACCTCTGAGGCTACGGTCTAGTCCTCCTCAGACGTGTACTGATATTGTCATTTTTTTAATAAAAGTTCTTCTTTTCAAATATATATATATATATATATATATATATATATATATATATATCTGTGTGTGTGTGTGTGTCATGTGTAAAGTATATATGTAAATATATAAGTACGTGTACAAAGTATGTATATATATATATATATATTATATTAAACATTTTACTTTACTATTTTACAATATACAAATTAAATATTATCCCTTCTTATAATCCTACTATTTAAATTGTTCAAAGTGTGTGACCCATATAGGCACTTATAAAACTTGCCACAATATTGACTTTACATCAATACTATAAGTAATAAGCGGTATATAGCAACACATTATTACCCCCAGATTATAAGTTCAGACGTTTGCTCCGTCAAAACCTTTCTACGACTAAGACTTTGTATAACGTAGATCCTTTTGTCCCAATGTCTTAACTTAATGCAAGGGATATAAAATAGCCAACTTGTAGCCATTAAGTCATTTACTGACCATGCATGGCCATGCATTTCCTTAGTCATACTTATCAGTGGGCCCCTGTAACGCCCCAAAAATAGGCCTATCAGAATTAATTAATTAATAAGTAATTAATTACTGAGAAGGACCCAAAAAAATAAGTAAATCCTAAAGTTTGTCAATAATTAATAAAAATTATATCGTTGTGTAGAGTTTGACTGTGTGACCCCAACGGTTCAATCGGATTTCAATTTGGAGAAACTTGGACCAAAAAGTGTATCCCAACTGGGACCGAAATTAGTCCTAGTCAAAGACTACACAACAAACGGCGCTCCCTGTTCAATTACGCCGAATCCAAAATACGAATCACCGCTCAATCACGGAAGCTGCAGACCTGTGTCTTCTTCTTCTTCAACTGGCCTATTTAAGGATGATCAATCTTCCTCATTTCTCCACCAAAATCTATAATTCTTCATCCTATCCTGCTCTTCTGAGTGAGGAGCACACACTGGTGCTGTCAGCTTTGTGAGAGGTCGCTGGAGCAGTGAGATATAGTCGCCGGAAGTTTCGCCGGAAAATCTTCAAAACCTCCCTTACGCTTCGAGGTAAGCCCGTAGATATATCTAAAGACAAGAACGTTCATGTAGGTTGCTTTTACGCTCATAAATAGTCGTTTGGTTGAGTTTTGTGTTTGACACGTTTGAAGAACCAAGAATCATAAACCTTGATTTTGATGTTAAAAATATGTTTTAATGATTCTAAAATGATCCATGAACCTGGGAGAACATTCTATGTAATTTAATTGAAGTTTGGTGTTTTAAAATCATAATACTCGAAACTGACCAGAGGAAGAAGATGATGAACAGTAGCCGAAAATCGGTTATTTTCTTCCTAAAAATCGATTAAAACTTTATTCAGACAAGGTACCAAGAAATCAGATTTTAATCGATTATTTATGAAACAAAAATCAATTTTAGTTGTTTAATCGATTATTTTTAAACCAATAATCGATTTATTTTATTTAATGGATTATTTTAAAGAAAACATCGATTTTTATGATTAATGGACTATTAAAATTTAAATAATCGATTTTCCTCAATCAGTTCAATTCCTGTTCCAAAAATATTTCTGTTTAGAATCATATGTTTGATACCAATTGATTATGATCATTATAAAAATGATTTTTATAGTAAAAAATAATGTTTTGAACAAATAAAAATATTATGTGATGCATGACAGTAAGTTCGGGTTTTAGCACTCGAGACTAGACCGCTGTTTATTATCAAATGTTATGTTGATTGATGATTATGATGAATAATTATTATAATTATGACTTGATGAAACCATTGATTAAAATGATTATTTAAGATTAAACTATGAACTGAAATGAATATATTGATGATTATGAAATGATTTGGATTGTAAGAATATCTAGAAGAACTCTAAGATATATTGATATTGGTTTCTAATACTATCTAGAAGACCTCTAAGATAGATTAGAAATAGGCCTTGCGGGTATGATGCCCGGTGGCTAAAACATACGTACAGGATCCAAGAACCAAACTTGAGTACCTACTCGTTTGGGGGTACCACCCAACCCAACAGTGAACACTACGTTGTCGGTTTTTGGTTGACCTTAAGCGAAGGTAAGTTTAAGATTTGAAAACTCTTTTTAAAAATATATCTTAAACTAGGCCTAGCTTAAGGATTAGAATATCTTGAACTAGAATCAGTTTAAGAATGGAACTGGCCTTAGACTAAGCATAGTTTAAGGATATTGTTGAATACTGAATATTGAATATGAATGTTGAATATTGAAATAAAAATATTGAGAATATCATGAATGAATTATATATTGTATGCATGATATCAAATGGTTGTTTGTGAATTTAGATTCAATTTATGTGGATGTTCGACGCTTTAGATATGCTTACTCAGCTTCACCGCTGAGCGTGTATTGTGTTTTATTTGCTACACGCAGGTAGGCAGAAGGAATGATTGGCATGTTCCTGGCAGCGGAAGGGGCGAGACTGTTTTGGTGGAATTTGTGATTTTAAAATGAATAATTGCGTTGTTATTAAACATGGTTTAAATCGCTTCCGCATTATTATGAAACACTCAGTATTTTGCTACAGTTATGTATTGAATAATATTTATGATGAATAAAAGTGTTGAAATGTTTTAATGTTTAAGATTACCAAGCTAATACTTTAGTCTGGAAGGGGCTGCAGACCTTGATGGATTAGGGTGTTACAGCCCCTACAAGACATTATTCTGCTTGAGTAGCAGTGACAAATTCTTTGTACGTAATCTACGTCTACGAATACATGCAGCGTCATGCCCAATACAAAGCCTGTATACCATCCTTATATCATACGGCTTAGGACAATGAATAAAAGCATGCGAGTTCACGCATTCAAAGAACGTAATACTTCAAGTCTAAGGATCGTTATACCATTAGTCGCATTAAGGACACTTAGAGCGTAGACTAAAAGTCTAGGCAATGTCCTTAAGGTGGGTCAGGTCTGGCATCATATTATTAACGATAATATCTGCCCGAGAGTAGATGCGAACACTCCATCATTGGCCAAGAGACTAGGTCAAACATCTAACTCTCACTAGTCTCATGCGCACTAACGATATCCCACTCTCGTTAATGCTTCGGCTATAGACCGTTCAGAATTATACTAAGTGACAAGATGTCAGTCTCAACATCAGAAGACTCATTCTGATAAACATCTTATAATATAATTCTAGGAATGCAACTAAGAGTTTACATTAGCATGAGATGTTTGTAAACTTAATGCATCTGCCTTTACATGATAGAAAATATCTAAGATATTACAATAGCAGTTGGCCATAAGGGCACCAACTCCAACAATCTCCCACTTGCACTATGGCCAATCTGGCATCGGTCGAATGCCCATTGATCTAGTGTGACCCTCATGCTTTAGCTTTCCCAAGGGCTTGGTCAAGGGGTCGGCTATGTTGTCGTCTGTTCCTACTTTGCAAATCTCCACATCACCTCTGTCTACGATTTCTCGTATGATGTGATAACGTCGTACAATGTGTTTGGTCTTTAGGTGAGATCGTGGTTCCTTCGCCTGTGCAATGCCCCCAGTGTTGTCGTAGAAAAACGGGATTGGGTCATTAATGCTAGGAACCACTCCAAGTTCAGAAATGAACATCTTTATCCAAACACCTTCTTTTGCGGCTTCAGTAGTAGCCATGTACTCAGCCTCTGTAGTTGAATCGGCGGTTGTGTCCTATTTAGAACTCTTCCAGCTAAAAGCTCAACCATTCAGGCAAAACACATACCCTGCTTGTGACTTGTAATCGTCTCGATCGGTTTGGAAGCTTGCATCAGTGTAACCGATCACTTTCAGCTCTTCCCCATCTCCATATACCAAGAATGCATCCTTAGTATTCCGAAGATACTTTGGGATGTTCTTGACCGCTGTCCAGTGTGCTTCACCTGGATTCCCCTGGTATCTACTGGACACGCTTAAAACGAATGAGACATCAGGTCTAGTACATATCATGGCATACATGATGGAACCAATTGCAGAAGCATATGGGACCTTCATCATGAGTGCCTTCTGCTCGGGAGTAGGACTCTGGCTCTTGGAAAGAGCCGTGCCAGGTAACATAGGCAAGGATCCCTTTTTCGAGTTAGACATGCTAAATCGATCAAGGACCTTATCTATATATGTACTTTGACATAGACCTATCAACTTTCTTGACCTATCACGGTATATTCTTATGCCAAGGGCATAACTAGCATTCCCCAAGTCCTTCATGGCGAAGTTCTCGCTCAACCAAGCCTTTACAGACGTAAGAGCAGGAACATCGTTACCCATTAACAATATGTCATCGACATATAGGATTCGGAATACTATCACACTCCCACTGACCTTCTTATAAACACAAGACTCGTCAGAATTCTTCTCGAAACCAAAACTAGTGATGGTTTCATCAAAGCGTATATACCAACTCCGAGATGCTTCTTTCAATCCGTAGATTGACCGTTGCAGCTTACAGACTTTGGCAGATTCACCAGCAATTGTAAAACCGTCAAGCTATGTCATATAGACATCCTCTTTGAGGTTTCCGTTAAGAAAAGCCGTCTTGACGTCCATCTGCCAAACCTCGTAATCGTAGAATGCTGCAATCGCAAGCATTATCCGAATGGACTTCAGCATCACAACTGGAGAAAAGGTTTCATCATAGTCAATTCCATGGATTTGTCTATAACCTTTTGCTACCAATCTAGCTTTGAAGGTATGAACCTTCCCGTCTACGTCTGTTTTCTTTTTGAAAATCCATTTGCACCCTATGGGTTTTATCCCTTCGGGTGCATCAACCAAGGTCCAAACTTGGTTTGTGTACATAGACTCCATTTCGGATTTCATGGCATTAAGCCATTGATCGGATTCGAGGCACGTGATTGCCTCGATGTAGGTATCAGGTTCGCCTTGGTCTACCAGTAAGACGTCACCTTCATCAGATACAAGGAAGTCGTATCTAACCGGAGGATTACGCATCCGGTCTGACCTACGTGGTAAAACCTGAGCTAGTCGAGATACTAAATCTTGACGCTCGGGTTCCACTACTATTGAGATCTCTTCTTGTGGTTCTCGAATTTCTTCGAGTTCTACCTTTCTCCCACTAGAAATAGCAGAGAGAAGCTCCTTCTCAAGGAAGGTTCCGTTCCGAGCAACAAAGGTTTTGTTATCGGCCGGATGATAGAACTCATACCCTTTCGTTTCCTTGGGGTATCCCACAAATTTACACCTGTCAGATTTGGAATCCAGCTTACCAGACGTCATGAGGCGTCTAACGTAAACATCACAACCCCAAATCCTCAAGTATGACAAATTCGGTTTTGTCCCACGCTATAGCTCGTATGGGGTGCTCTCAACAGCCTTATATGGTACGCGATTGAGTGTGTGTGCTGCTGTTAATAGTGCTTTACCCCAAAAAGACTCTGGTAATGTTGTCAGACTCATCATACTCCGAACCATATCGAGCAGCGTTCGGTTTCTCCTTTCAGACACTCCATTTAATTGGGGTGTACCGGGAAGAGTCAGCTGGGATAGGATCCCGTGCTCTTTTAGATAGTCGTCGAACTCCAGGATTAAGTACTCACCTCCTCGATCCGAGCGAAGGGTCTTAATACTTTTGCCTAATTGTTTCTCTACTTCGTTTCTAAATTCTTTGAACTTGTCAAAGCATTCCGATTTGTGTTTCATGAGATACACATATCCATACCGACTAAGATTGTGAGTAAATGTGACGAAGTATGAGAAACCACCTATAGCTTCAGTGTTGATTGGGCCACATACATCAGAGTGTATGAGACCTAATACATCACTCGCCCTTTCAGCGTGACCGGTGAATGGAGCCTTTGTCATTTTACCGAGTAAACAAGATTGGCATACATCATAAGACTCGAGGTCAAATGAATCAAGTACGCCAGAGTGGCGTAACTTAGATATGTGTTTCTCGTTAATGTGGCCCAAACGACAATGCCAAAGGTATGTGAGATTCAAACTGTTTGGTTTGCTTCTCTTGACATTTACGTTATAAACAGTGGCGTCTAAGTCTAAGATATAAAGACCATTGGTCATCTTAGCAGTTGCATAGTAAATATCATTTCTGAAAACCGAAAGGCACTTGTCTTTGACATTAATAGAAAATCCTGCTTTGTCACGACAGGACACAGAAATGATATTCCTGCTAATGGCAGGTACAAACAAGCAATTGTTTAAATGCAACAACAAGCCACTAGGGAGAGATAGAACATAAGTTCCTACAGCCAGCGCATTGACAAGTGCTCCGTTTCCGACCTTAAGCTGGACTTCTCCCTCAGCCAAATGTCTAACTTCATGCAAATTCTGCATAGAAGTACAGATGTGAGAACCACATCCGATATCCATCACCCAAGAGGTGAAATCAGACATGTTGACTTCAATAACGTAAATACCCGAGTTTTTGGGGTGACCCTGGAATAGGTCTTTCAAGCGTTGTATCATAGGACACGCTTCCATGTCCGCGTGGCGCCTTTGGAGCTCCGCGGTCATACTTGCCATAATGATACACTTAACATCTTACGTGTCGTCCTCATACTTCTTGAAGGAAGTGAGTTTGGACGCACGAGCATTTGCCACAGGGGTCTTGGGAGGATCTGTGTCGAGGATGTAGAGTTTCCTCTCACAGTCAAGAACGATTCGGAGGTTCTTCTCCCAGTCAAGAAATTTTTCCCCGGAGAGTTTTTGGCTCTCGAGGATATAGTGCATGTTGATGGAATGACTGTACGTTTTATTTGATGCCATCTACAGAACGAAATTGCAAACTAGCATATCTATCATGTTGAATAATTAATTAGGCCTTTTAATTAATTATTTCCCACTATTTTAACAAACCAACAACCCTCAATGTTGATTCGGAGATTCTCCTAGAGATTCTCTTAATGGGCCAAGATCCATATATCATTAAATTCCAGTTGACCTGAGGTTCGTACCTAGAATTTAACTATTTAGGTAGGAACATAGTTCCAACTGTCGAGCCGCGCTCATAGTTCTTGGTCTTGTGTTGGGCGAACTACAATACTACTAAATACTACTAACGGACCAGAACACCATTTCATTGTACATGTGATTGGCTTTGGCACGTACCACATGCGCAACTTCTTTAGTTAGGGCAAAGCCCAATTAAGTCATAGAGACCCAACTTCTGGATGGATAAGTGAGTAAAGTAATTCGACTTGTCAGTATAGTGACCCCAACAAAACCCGCCTCTGAGTCATCCATCCATTTCACCGAGCCTCGGTTAAGTCTAACCCAACACCTGACAATGACCACTTAAGTGATTCCCATGACCAGCATAACATACACCGTACTACGCTATGCTAAGGCTGAGTACGTGACAGTGCACATTAGCCAGAAAGGTGCCGGGCGCCTGAAGGCAATACAGACTTAATATTTCGAGGGAATTAATATTAATTACGATCTCACCTACGACACATGCCGCGCACGTGTCAATTTACTAGCGTTAAACATACATTCACATGCATTCAAAATACGCAGTAAATAAACGTGTAATGATTGTGGCCCCTAAAGTAAAAATAAAACGATAGCTCCCACTGACTTCCAGGCTCTTGGACTTCGGGCTATCTCCATTCCTTTAGACTACCTCGAACGGACTTCAAATCTTTTATCTTCTAACCACCACGTGAGAAAAGAATCCTCGGTTGAGGTAAGAGAGAGAGATAGATTTACAACGAGAGTTTAAGAGATAAGGCACGACACGCAGGCCGTATTATAATCAAATAAACTATAGCCACAATCATCCACCATTCATATCATACATCCACATAGGCAATATAGATATACACACACCGGGCGAACCGCGCTTGCCCCAGATAATTCTAGAAAAATACTACGTTGGTAATATTTTCTAAAATTCATAAAAAGTCATAAAGAGGTCCCAAAATTATGAACTTTTACCAAGTAATCCTAAATACATTAGGTCAAAACTGCAAAACGAAATTCCAGTAGATACAGAATTACGAAAATGCCCCTACTGCAATGTTTATTCCAAAATTCATTTTAAATTTGAAATAAATTTGCAAAAAAACATGAAAATTAATTTTCAACTTCCAGTAACTATTTTATACATTTATAAATCGGAAAAATAAATTTCCATACTTTATAAATATTTATTTCCCAAATATATTAATTATATCTCAATAATTGCAAAACTAATTTTAAATCATTTTTAAAAAATCATTAAATTATAAAATTTAATATTTAGAAAAATAAAATTACTTTTTACTGAGATATATATATATATATATATATATATATATATATATATATATATATATATATATATATTTTACTCAGTAATATATACATACCGAAATATATATATAAAATTAATTGCTAACTAATATTATTTTGTCCAATATATTCATGAAAAACTTTATTTCACCTAGAAAAAATATTTTCAAGTTTTATAAAGTTCATTTTTGAGTTTCCAATATTTATATAAGATTCATTGGAATTAAATCTAAACAAATACAATTAACTCAAAAATTGGAAATAAACAATTTTGAAAATTACAATATAATTTTACTAACCATAAAATGAAATTTTATGTTCAATAAAACTATATTAACAATTTCGAAATATATATATTAATATATATTCGAAATTTCCGAATATATGTATAAAATACATATTTTTGGCACAAATAAATAATGAATATTTATTTTAATGATTTATTTAAGTCCAATATTTATTCCAAGACTAAAATAAATCATTTTACTAATTTTCGAGATTAACAAATAATTACCAAGTTAAAAATAATTTCCAACCGAAAAAGTTCTACGAAAAACTATAGTTTTGTACGTTGGCTCTGATACCACTGAAAGGTAACCACTATTGGGAGGGCAGCGGAAATACATAATTTAAGCTTCCAATAGTGATTACTAGCCCAAGAACACGTACAAAACCTATAGCTAGAGATAGAAAGTTATACCTTCTCCGGTATAGCGGTATAAACGAGAAGTCGAGCAAAAGTTGTTGAAGGAGCAAGCGTAGCCGTTCAAGTGTCCAGCCTCTAACTTTTACACACGAACAATCTCCGGAGTCTACCCTTACACTTGTGCTAGCAAGTGTTAAAGTAGTATAATAAAATATAAAGATTATTTTGGAATAATAATAATCTTGTATATAAATAGTAGAAAATATATCAATAATATTTTAAAGAAATATTATATCAATTTCCTACACAAAACTAATATTTGGAACTCAAATATATTTTTCTCCCTTTTTCTCTTTAGTTGGCCGAAACTCATTCACCATCCCTTTTTGAGAAAGAAATTCATTCACTTTCTAAAAAGTACAAAACATAAACAATGATAAAAGGACAAAAGAGTTTTGTCAAATTTTGCTCCTCCACATATTTCAAAGTGGGAGGAGACAACACCCCATGCATTGATTGATGTACGAAAGTGAAGGGGGAAGAATTTAATTCTTCTCCTCTTAAATGTTCAAAGTGTATTTTATTTGACATCAATAATTTTTATGATATAAAATAAAATACCCAAAACATTTTAAAACAAGTATATAAAATATACTTTAAAATAGTTTTTGTCAAAATAATTATTTTCATAATTAAAATGACACTCCAAAATACAATGTACATAATATAATATATATAATGTGATTTATATACATATGTATGTACACGCATATATATACACACACACGTATTATATATATATATATATATATATATATATATATATATATATATATATATATATATATATATATATATATATATATATATATATTATAAAGGTAATTTTATTGCAATCTTAAAAAGGGTACGAGCATATCAAGGCAAAAGCTTGCTCTAACTTTCTTAGGCAGCTAAGATAAGGTATTGAAAGGAGTACATTTATAGCTTTGGGTTCCGAGTTTAGATAGAAGATCAGCCACGTTGTTGGCCTCCCGAAGGGTGTGGAAGAGCCTGAGGTTGAGGTGATGGGTTTTATCTTTGATGAACTTGATGGCGTTGGAAGGTGGGGTTTCCATAATGAGATTTATGAGTTCCATACAGTCAGTTTCGACGATG